GAAAATATGAAATGTATCCATGAGGTGTGAGAGAAATGAAAAAGGAAAAGATTCAAGAACTCAAGGGCAGAAATAAAAAGTGCGATCACAGAAATTAATTACTGTTTCCATTTCGACTCGTTAGCCCGTTTTTACTTTTTGTAGTTACACTAGAATTAGAAATTTTATCATGTGGCATAATAAATGTACGCCTAGACATAGAAATATTCGTTTTGTTTTTCAAAGCCTTACGCAAATTTTCGTCACACTAGTTTTGTATCTTTGTTAGCTGTGCTGACACATATTAATTTGATACTGATATAATGCGATCATTTCTATATCATGTAGCATAAGCTAATAACGAAAATTGGAAAAAATCTATAAACTAATATACGCGTGAGAGAACCTTTTTTTGCTATCATGTGGCATAAGCAAAATCTTATAAAAGAGAATTAATATATTAGTATATACTTATGTATTCTCCCTGCCATCAATTTGACAGCATATATGAAAAATATATGTAAAAATGTTGAGAAGAGAATTAACAGCAATAAAAAGTGAGGATATACGAAAAAAAACTTATATTAGCAATGTCAAGTTTGGTGGAACCGATATAAAATGATTGTTTTCTTCTAACAATATATATGACCTATATATATAAGAATTTTTCTTACATTGGTGGAAACAATTACATCTTTAGCTTTGAAAAACATAGAAAAATGTTTTGTCTGATCTATGTATTGAGAAACTAACATATGAGTTGATAACGTCTATAATTCTTTTTTCAACAAAAAAAAATACCTCAAAAGATATCAACTCCACCTGATATTCATTATTTCTGTTAATAATGTAAAAATTAAAGAAAAATCTGATTGGATACATTTGATATATAAGGGCCTGGGCACAAGGGTATAATATATTGTTAGTACCCGGAAAACAAATACATGTACTTGCAGATTAATAGGCTACGACTTGTTACATTTAAATGTTTATACAACATATTAAAAAAAAAAAATTCAAAAAATGGCACTTTACAAAAATACCACATTTTTGAAATCTTTATAAAAATGCCACTTTTTCAAAATTATTTTTTCTTTATATTATTTATGTTTGAGTTAATTATGTTTTATTAGGGTTTAATTTTGAGTGTTTAGTGAATTTTAGGTGTCAAAACATTTTTTAGGGTTTAGAATTTTAAGATATAGGTTTTATAAATCTATAATTAGTGGTATTTTTGTAAATGGACACCCTTAAATAGCATTTTTAAGTGTGTACACAAAAGTGGTATTTTTGTAATTGCCCAAAAAAAAATTGAAACCAAAAAGCGATATTGAGATAATACAGTATATAGTTAAAAACATATGTTCTAAGTTTTTTTTTTTTAACAAATTCGAAGTTTGATTTCAAACTTCAAGAAAGTTTTCTTATATGTTAAAGTTC